GTTCCCCCCCTTACCTGGGGCTACACACCCCACTTCTCCCCTCAGCCAGCCCCTCCTTCCCTGGGACTACACCCCCCGCTTCCCCTGCAGCCAGCCCCCTTCTCTGGGGAGAGCAACACCCCCATCTCTTCCATCCCAGGGACCCTTTTTTCCTGGGGAGTGCTAGCACTGCCCCTGCAGTGACACCTCCTATGCCAGAGGGTCCCACCCCTTGTGGGGAAGTAGCACCCAATGGCACTACCGTAGACCCCCTTTTCCCTTCTGTGAGAGCGACACTCTCAGCTTCCTGGCTGCCATGCTCCCTCCCTAGTGCTGCAGGTCCTGTCTGTAACTGATAGGCCATTTGTGGCTCTCTGCAGGAGGAACGAAGGTGAAGCTTGGCTGAGCTGCAAAAGCCCTGGTGAGTGGTGACTCCCCTGGCTTCTCCTGTTACTGGAAGAGATTTCCTGGCAGGCACAGATGTTTTATATTATGATGTGGTATATAGGGAGTTAGGGGGCTACGTGGGACTTTGTCTTCTCTCCATATGAAGCACCTTACCTGTCTCAAAAAAAGGGAATGTGTGGATGATGAGATCTCCATCCGGGAATGACACTCCCATCAAGCTTTATACAGCTTGATTTCACCTTTTGCCCTGCCCCTTGTCATAGGAACATAAGAAGAACATAAGAACGGCTATACAGGTTCAGACCAAAGGTCCGTCTAGCCCAGTATCCTGTCTGCTGACAGTGGCCAATACCAGATGCCCCAGAGGGAGAGAACACAGCAGGTAATCATCGCGTGATTCCTCTCCTGTCGTCCATTTCCAGACAAACAGAAGCTAAGGATACCATTCCTACCCATCCTGGCTAATAGCCGTTGATGGACCTAACCTCCATGAATGTATCTAGCTCTTTTTTTGACCCCAGTTAAAGTCCTAGTCTTTACAACATCCTCTGGCAAGGAGTTCCACAGGTTGACTGTTTGCTGTGTGAAGAAAAAAAACTTCCTTTTGTTTGTTTTAAACCTGATATCTATTAATTATCCTATGTTCTTGGAGAGTTGCTCCCAAAGGAAGACCGTATACACAGCTGGAGCCCTCCCCCACCAGGAAAGTTAGAGCTGGGTCCATGTGCACATGTTAACCCCTCCTGCTCTCCTTCAAAGGAGTTGGAGCTGGGGTCAACCATAGCATTTTTGCGCTGAGCTCTTTAGAATAAATTTTAGGGAAAAGCCCTGTTAGATCAGAGTTTACATCCATGTCTGGCTCATTCAAGGTACAAACACCTAATTGGTCAGTTGAGTCCATCGTCTAGATATATGCCTGGATTCCTCTTCAGTGCTTACCTCTCACACAGCAGCATCCGCAAGTAACAATGTCTAGTGGACAATAACTTGATCTCCATTATATATGCCTTTGTCAATTCTCATCTGGACAGCAACGCAGTATGGCTGGACATGAAGTCATCAACCCTTAGAAAACTTCAGGTAGTGCAGAAGGCTTCAGGACACTTCATCAACACAAGCAATTGCTAGCCCATTGCGTCTATCTTCCACTCTACATTTTTTGTCTATAGAATATGGATTCAAGTGCAAGGTCTTTATTTTCAAGGTATTCAAATGGCCTGGGCCTAAGACATCCATAAGAGCTTAAAGTTGTGAGGTGAAGAATGTAGTCAACAACTCTGCTACTCTGACACACTGGAACTTTCTAGCATAGGAGTGAAGCTCGTCTGTGTATGAAGTTGTAGTTTCTTAAGGGCTGATCTCAAATTGTGGAACTCAGGACCATCTCAGACCTACCTTCCTTCCATTTCAAATACAACGTGTGCTGCTTTGACCCGTCATCTCTAAAATCAACACACAGTTACTTGAATGGTTTAAAAGTAAAAAACCCCAAGGTTCCTATCTGTCACTGAAATTGATGATGTCTGAAAAGTAATACAGTGAGTTATATTTACAGTTTAAGTATGTAAAATGCTAAATTATCATTCTTTCATCTTTAATGTGTGTGCTGTATTTCAGGGAAATCTACTTTGTATGGCAGTTTGACATGCCAGGGAGTGGGTTCAGATGGCATTCCAGAGATCTCAGCCTCTGAAGGATTTGTTGTAAACGAAATAACTAAGGTACTTTTATTTGTGTATTTGTAGGCTTGACGGATCAACAAGTAGTTAGTACTGAAAATTAAAGTGCTATAGTCATTTACTAATGTGGTGCCAGCAATACAGCGTGCTCTTCCTTATACTGCTTTATGATCTGAACCATAGCGTAGAAAGTGCTTAACAATTTGTTCTGATTAGACATGGTAACTTCACCAATTGAAATTAATTGCCCATGGTGGGTTTTGGATCAGTGTTTTGTAGACATGAAGAGAGGTCATCAAACTTTTTTCATTGAAAATGTTTAATCTTAAACTGGGATCTTAAAAGTGAAAGGCCATGTACTTTTTCCACTGAAGTGTACTGGCACTTAACTTCAGAATTAATAATAGTAGTAGCTATGTTGGTGTGTGGCCAGCACTGTTCCCTCCAATTTTTCCATCCATGTGCGGAATAAATTTGTGTATGCACTGAGGTACATGTGAATGTGCACCACTAGTAGAAACTCATGCTGCCAGCTGTGGGTGCTCTGCTAATCAGCTGGGCAGCATTTAAATCTCTCCTCGGCAGCCACCGAAATGCTCAGCTTACAGGAAACACTGGTGGCTACACTGTGGATTATTTATCTTTTGCAGCTTGACTGTTCTAGATGAATCTATATTTGAAGCATGTATGGAAAGAAAACTGATGAAAATGCTACGTCATGCTTTAGTAAGATACGTTATTCAGGTTTCCCTATAGAAGTCAGTTATGCTTTGTGCACAAATCGTGAATGTCCTTAAATCAGTGCCTTTTGTATCTTCACATGTCAGCACTTGCTTTTCAAAACCATCTACATGGCTTTATGTGCAATTTTACTGTAAGTAAGGATTGATTAGATACATAACTGCATAAACAAAATCTAGAGGCACTCCCTTGTTTCACAGGTCCAATGTCTGATACTAAGAGGTGCTAGTTGAAGCTAACAACACATTTTGTGATCAAGTTTCTAAATGGATTCTGGTGCATAAAGCATAAAAAGTCACAGTGATTGACATATTGGCTTGGGCCAGTGGTCTGTCTAGCCCAGTATTTTGTCTCCAACATTAGCCAAAATTGGCTGTTTCAGGAAGGCGCAAGAATCCTGCAGTAGACAGTATTGAGGTAAATTGATCACATCAAGCTTGTTCTTCTACAAATGACTTATCTCTACAATGCTAATGGAACAGAGACATTTTTGAGTCAGTCAAATGAGCAAATAGGATGTGAAGGAAAAACATAGTTCCGCAGAGCTAATTCTAACAATTTTATAATCTTTTTTTTCTCATGTTCTTTAGAAAAGCATTCTCGTTTCTTGCCCTCATGAAAATGTTTCAACAAAATTTTTGGCACCATACACAAGCTTTTGCAGAATTCATCAGAAAAGTGTAAGTAATCTTGCAGAGTGGTTGAGAGATACATGGAGCTGAATGTTAATAACATTCTTTGTTTGCAGTTGTTGCAGACCGTTTAAGCAAAATGGAGTGCAAGGTGCCTTTGCATAGAAACTTCTCAAAAAACTATTATAATCAGGTTGGAATTAAGTTCATATTTCCACTTTCTATAATTAAACTTGGTCTTTACAGTTCATAGAAGGGTTGTGTATGAAAACAATCCAAAATAAAATATAGAACCTTTAGTTACATGGAAGATCATGGTGCTGTTGTATTTTGGTGCCTTTTGTGAGGATTTTTTTTTTAATTAATCTATCGCCTGTAATCTAAGTCATGGTTAAATTCTACCACATGCTCCCCAAACACATAAAACAATTACAGGCAGTCCCCGACTTACGCGGATCCGAATTATGTCGGATCCACACTTACGAACGGGGCTTTTCTCGCCCCGGAGCTCACGGGCGGCGGGTCGCCACCCGTGTCCTCCGGGGTGAGAAAAGCTTCTCCCTGTCCCCCTGGTCTGCTGGGGGGGTCCAGCAAAGCCGCTGGACCCCCCCAGCAGACCAGGGGGACAGGGAGAAGCTTTTCTCACCCCGGAGGACACGGGTGGCGACCCGCCGCCCGTGAGCTCCGGGGCGAGAAAAGCCCCGTTCGTAAGTGTGGATCCGACATAATTCGGATCCGCGTAAGTCGGGGACTGCCTGTAATTGTTTTATGTGTTTGGGGAGCATGTGGTAGAATTTAACCATGACTTAGATTACAGGCGATAGATTAATTAAAAAAAAAATCCTCACAAAAGGCACCAAAATACAACAGCACCATGATCTTCCATGTAACTAAAGGTTCTATATTTTATTTTGGATTGTTTTCATACACAACCCTTCTATGAACTGTAAAGACCAAGTTTAATTATAGAAAGTGGAAATATGAACTTAATTCCAACCTGATTATAATAGTTTTTTGAGAAGTTTCTATGCAAAGGCACCTTGCACTCCATTTTGCTTAAACGGTCTGCAACAACTGCAAACAAAGAATGTTATTAACATTCAGCTCCATGTATCTCTCAACCACTCTGCAAGATTACTTACACTTTTCTGATGAATTCTGCAAAAGCTTGTGTATGGTGCCAAAAATTTTGTTGAAACATTTTCATGAGGGCAAGAAACGAGAATGCTTTTCTAAAGAACATGAGAAAAAAAAGATTATAAAATTGTTAGAATTAGCTCTGCGGAACTATGTTTTTCCTTCACATCCTATTTGCTCATTTGACTGACTCAAAAATGTCTCTGTTCCATTAGCATTGTAGAGATAAGTCATTTGTAGAAGAACAAGCTTGATGTGATCAATTTACCTCAATACTGTCTACTGCAGGATTGACTTACATACAGATTCAACTTAAGAACAAACCTACAGTCCCTATCTTGTACATAACCCGGGGACTGCCTGTACATATAATGCAGAGAGGCACTTTGGTTTTTTTAGTAGAAATTTGTGGAAAAACATGCTCCTCAAAATCCTTCTCAAGATCCAATCCTGCTTTGACAACTAGAAGGAACTGGCCAGCTATAATAAAGAACAACAAACAAACTTTCCAGTTGTGAGGATCTGATGGATCTACATTTTCACTATTGTTACATTATTTGAGCCTTGCTGCATATTAGACTGTAATGGCTAGATATAAAACCCAAGTGCTGACTACTTATGCTTAGTAAGGATTCCATATCCTTTTTGATACGATGTTAGCGCTAACGTTAAAATGGGTTTAATGTTAAAATTGGTGTATTTAGGTAAACGTGTGACTGAAATTCAGCAGTTACACATTTACACACGTGGTGGGAGAGGTGACTTCCTGGGAGCTTGTGTGTGAGGGGAGCTGGATTTTAAGCTGGCTCCCCGCACGTACTGGCAGAGCTGCCTATTTCCCCTCTCATGTTGCTGCCTCTGATACAGAGGCAGCTGTGTCGGCGGGAGAGGGGGAATGTGGCTCCACACATTACCTGCTTCCCCCCACACTGCTGCAGTAGTGTGAGGAGGCAGGCAGCTCTCTGGGAGTTGGTGCTTGCGCTTCAGCCCCACCCTTACCTCTGATACAGAAGCAGCGGTGGAGGACTGTGTAACAATGAAGGTTAATCACATACATGTTTGCAATATCACATCCCTAGCCCATGCTCTTACCCTATCAGAGTTCCAATTTGAATAATTATGTTGTTTTCCTTCAGCTGATGACTATTCTTAATGTTGGGCCCTAAATTGCTCACTGTTGATGCAATTTGTTACCCAACTGTTGCATTCCACTCTAGCAGTAGCTGTACTTTATCAGTGGGTGAAGTAATATGATTACACAGTACCTTGCAAAATTACTTCATCCACAACTAAAATGCAGCCCCCTTCTGAATAGAAGAAAGCTGTTTATCAGATCACAGCAATGATGCATAATATTGTGGGGGAAAGACAAGTTTGTGCAAGGATATAAGACAGTGGTCTCAACCTTTTTACACCCAAGATCACTTTTTAGAGGTCAGGGCAAGCCCAGATCTTCCCCACCTCTTCCTTGAGACTCTGCCCTCTCCATTACCCTCCTCTCCATCACTTGCTGTCTCCAGCCCTTACTCACTTTCACTGGGTTGAGACTGGAGGTGCTGGCTCTGGGGTGGGAATGAGAGATTTGGGCGCGGGAAGGGGTGACAGGTGCAAACTCTGGGAGGGTATTTGGGTGCAGGAGGAAGTGGAGAAGGGGAGGGGGCTCCAGGCTGGAGAGTGTTGGTCAGGTGGAGGGTTGGGGCGCTGGGACAAGCCACAGCTTGTGGATGTGGGGGTGCAAGAATTTGGGTTGGGGTATATGAGGAGCTCAGGGCACAAATTTGCAGTGTGTGGGTGGTGCAGGAGTGTTATGGAACAAGACTGGGGATGTGTGTGGGAGGGGGTGGTCAGGGCAGGGGGTTCAGGTGTATGATGGGCTCAGGGTTGGGGAGTGTGAGGGGTGCTGGGGTGTTATGATGCTGCAGCCAGATTGAGGCTTGGCTCCAAATAGGGGCTTGTTTGCCAGCTTCATTTTTAAATAAAATATTATGTCCAACACAAAATGTTTCAACATTGTCTTTATTTATGGGAGGGGTGGGAAACCTGTTTTGGGTCAGGGGCCACTGACCCACATAAAAATCAGTGGGGGACCACACAAGTGAGATGCAAAAAAACCAACCCCTCCAAAGCCCCCCAACCCTCACTGATATGGCCTCAACTGAGACACCTCACTCCCCTGGGGCTCCAGCTCCATGGTAGGCAGGGGGAAAGTAGGTAGGACTGAGGTTCAAGGCCTCAGGCCAGATTAACTCTTCTGGGGTTCCAGGGTTAGTGGATTTTGTGGGCCTCCCTGGGCTCTGAGGTGGGGTTCAGTGAGTTCAGTGTGCAGGACAGACCTGCCAGTGAGTGGGATAGGAATGGGGGTGCAGAATCTGGGTGGAAAGTAGGGTACAGGAGCAAGCTGGGGGTAGGTGTCTGGGCAGGGTGCTGGATTGTGTCCGGTCATGGGGTAGAGGCAAGGTGCTTGAATGGTGTTTGGCCAGGGGCCAGGCTGCTTGTGGGGGTCTGGCAGGGGCCAGGCTGCTTGTGGGGGGTCTGGTCATGGGGCAGGGTGCTGGATGGGGTCTGGCCAGGGGGCAGGGTGCTAATGGGGGTCTGGCCGTGGGAAAGGAGGCAGGAGCAGCTTAGCCAGTACCTAGAAGTCTCCAGGGACGAGGATCTTTCATGCTGGATCTCTGGATCCTCTGCTGCCATCTTAAGCCCATCCACACACACCTTTCCAGAGCACAGGGAAGGAAGGGAAGACCAGAAAGTGTGCCTGCTGCTGTGTGGAGAGGAGCAGCACACGCTCTTGCGGAGAAGCCGGCTCTGGCGTGGAGCCATGGGACTTCTCCTCCCATCGCCACAGGAAGCCGGCACTGGCTCCAGTTTTGTGAGGGGCAGGAGGTGGTAGCGCCATTGCAGGCTCCTCATTGCAGGTGGGGGGAGTGAGAGGGGGCTGGGAACACTGCCTCGCGATCAACTGGTTAGTGACCACTGATAGAAGGCAAATATTTGCTGTTAACAAAGAGTGGTATACTGTGTGGGAGTCAGTTTATCTACTTAATGAGGATGAAGTCAGGCCTACTAGAATTTGAGACAGTGGCTACTGGGCGTCTGATGACTTCAAATCTGATGTTTTGAAGGTTTAGATTTGTTTTCCTATGCTTGTAAACACAGTCCCTTTCATGGCACTGGGAGTTAAACAGAAGAGGCTACACATAGGTACTATATTGTGTAAGGAAGAGAACATTTTTTAGTAATTAGCAAGGGACTGTATGAGGGTTCTAGTCTGAGCTCTGCTGCTGAGTGTGCTACTTTGGGTCAGATGTCACCTTATTGCTTCAGTTTCTTATTTGCCAAAGGGGGCTTGTGCCTCCAGTATGGAGAAATCCTGGCCCCTGTTCAACCTAGAATCATAGAATACTAGGGCTAGAAGGGACCTCGAGAGGTCATAATGTCCAGTCGCCTGCCCTCGTGGCCGGACCCAGTACTGTCTAGAACATCCCTGATAGACATTTATCTAACCTGCTCTTAAATATCTCTGCTTGTAAATGCCACCAAATTGTAAGAAATTGAGATGGCTTTGAATCTGATATTCTAGTCAATCAACACGTCTGAATCCTGGATTCAGGTCACATCGTACCAGTTGCTTCTCCTTGAGGGAAGGACATAGAATGTCTATGTAATACAACTTAATTGGGAAATGCTCATTTTAGCTACCTCCTCCCTTCTGTGAAAGCCCCTTCCCTTCTGAAAGAGAGATGACCTTTTTTGTTAGAGTAAATGAGAGAGAAAGAGGTTGTTAAACACGTTTTAAACATTTAACTAGTGCTTCCTAATATCTGTGAGGCCGAAGTCTGTAAAAGATCCTGAGTACCCAAATGAAAGGTACTTTGTACGTGGAGAGTATTATCAGACCAAAATCCTTCACTTATGTATGTGAAGTGACTGATTATGGTTGGTCAGGTGCTATGAAGTCTGCAGTATCTTTCTTTATACCGAATCCTTTGTTAGCAGATCTTCAATGCAAAATTTCCTTGCAGTAGTGAGCGAAAGCATGTGTTCCCTGGGTCATGTAAAATACTCATAATGCTTAATTAATGTCTTTCCAAACAGATAATCTGCATTGATATTTCCAGTGGCGGAGGCCTTGGCGTATCTACCAGCACTGATGGGACCATGAAAATCTGGCAGGCTGCGAATGGAGAAATAAGAGTAAGAATTTTGGCTATATCTTTCTGTTCTTGTATGCGTTTTGTCTCAAGTTCATAGATTCCAGTGTCCCAGCCCTAGCATTGGTCCCTAACTCAGTGACCTTGAGGTTAGGGAATGTAACAGACTAATTGACTAGATGACTATCTAATAAGCAAAAGTTTATCGGATAGTCGACACACTAGTCAACCAGTCACTTCTCCCCCACTCAGAAAGAGGCGGTGGGGGAAGGCGGCAGAAGAGAGGGCGCTGGGGGGAGCCAGTTTAAAAGCCAGTTCCCCCCAGCTCTGTGGGAGGGGACAGGGGTGAAGCAGCAGTGTTCCTCCTTTGAAATGTACATGAGTCTCCGCTGGGGCTCTTGTACATCTCAAAGAGGAAGCGCCATTTGGAGCCTGGGGCCAGCTCCATGTGGCATTTCAGTCTTTGAAATGTACAAGAGTTTGCTCTTGTATGTTTCAAAGTGGAAGTGCCGCATGGAACCTGGGGCCACCAGTGGGGGACGCTGGCCTCAGACTCCATGCAGTATTTCAAAGGCGGAATGCGAGCGGCACTTCTGCCTTTGAAATGTAGCAACAGCCCAGTGGGGTCTTGCTATATTTTAAAGTGGAAGTGCCCTCATCAACTAATTGAATTGTTGATGGAAATTCCATCGACTGTTCAGTTAGTTGATTAATCTAATTTTAACATCCCTACTTGAGGTCCAGTGTAGTTATGGTGCTGCCTTTGAGTGGGACATTAGCATAAATTTCGCTTCTAAGGTCAAAGATCTATTACTGTGATATAGTCTCCTAAATGTGATGCTCATAGGCCAGGGTGATGAGTACCAATATTAGAACATGGAGGGATAGTTAGAAGTGATGGTAATTATGGTGCAGTTGTTCACTGTCCTCTTCTAATCTACCTGGTAAATCCACTGCACTTATCCACTTAGAAAATTGGCTGTATTAAAACTGCATTTGTCCCTGAGGTATTTGATCATGTCCACAATTTAGGTCGAAGCACTGTGCTTTCCCAGTACTGAACAGCTGAATGCAGGATGACCTCAGCATGATAACCGTGGAATTAGCACACAGTTCTTTGTTTTTCCAGAGACTATTGGAAGGCCATGTGTATGATGTCAATTGTTGCAGGTTTTTCCCATCGGGCCTTGTTGTTCTGAGTGGGGGAATGGATGCCCAGCTAAAGATCTGGTCAGCAGAAGATGCTAGCTGCGCAGTAACGTTTAAAGGTCACAAAGCAGGTACACAAACTAGCTTTTAAAATGCTCAATATGCTGTCTGTATAATTGCACCATATCAGCAGACTAAAGTTTAAGCCTCAACTTGTTACATTTTTGTGCTGCGCATTAACATTTAGATGTGTTATATTGTGTCCAGGCTCTAAGCCTTAGAATATGAAACAGTTGTAAGCATCTGAAGCTGTTCCTGTTGCATTTCAGGTTTTCAATCTGTATAGTAGGGAAAATAAGGGAGAACAGCACAAAGGTCTGCTCAGAGTTGTGAACATGGAGCTCGGGTAGTGTTTTACTTTTCCTCCGTTCAGTTGACTGTCAAACTCTTTGGTATCCTAACTGAGCTCATGACCCCTGAATTAGATAGCATTTATACTGGAAGTGATTTTCAGTATAAATGCTATACAGCATTACCCAAGATAAGATGATAAGATAATGAAGGTTGTACTGGAGTTGCTTCACATGACCAGTTGTTTTTCCAGTATGCAGCAATGTTGTAGGTGCCTCATAAAATAAGTAAAGACACTTCTCATGCTTCAGGGCATGAGGTCTGTTGTGTCATGCTGAATTTAGGAGAGGGTGATTAGTTGCCAAGAAGGCAGGGGAAAGGAAGGGCACAATAAAACCGCCTCCATAAGTGGCGGTAGTTATGTCAGCGGGAGAAGCCCTTTTACCAACATTGTGCTGTGCACACTAGCACTTATTTGGTGTAACTTATGTCACTCAGGCTATGTCTAAACTACACCCCGCTGTCGGCAGAGGGATGTAAATTAGACGTTTTGAAAGTGCAAATGAAGTGGGGATTTAAATATCCCACACTACATTTGCATAATTGAATCATGGCACTGTTTCAAACAAGTGCCATTTTGAAACTGAAATCGCGGTTTAGACGTGGTTTTTTCGACAACGATGTAGTTTAGACGTAGCTAGCCTCAGAAGGGTGGTTTATTCATGCCTCTGAATGATGTATATTAGGCTGACATATAGGTATAACGTAATATAGGTATAGCCTAAGTGGCATCTGTCCAAATATTTGAGCAAAACATTAATGCAGAATCTTTCTGGTGTCCTGTAATGAACCTGCCATAATTTTCAGTTCACCTCTTTGTTGTGTGTTTAAAACGTGTGAAGTGCTTTGCAGATGTATTGCAACAATTTTGTAATTCATCTGACAGGAAATGTAGCAGAGCATCAGTGAGAGGAAATCTAGCAGATCTCTGTTGTCTACAAAATTGACTTAATCCATTATGTGCATGATTGGCTCTCAAGCAGTCTCAGCAGTAGCAGTCAGCTAGAATAATTAAATTTGGTTTTGTCTGGTTGCAGTTGACTTTTGTCTGAAAAGTAGTCTTGGTATTTGAACATTGCTTCTGTATGCAGACTGTTAATTAAATCTTGTAACCGTTCAAATATAGGCCTCTAAAAAAGTCTATGTTGTCTTTACATGTTAAAAATAACGATGATATAAAACAGTGAGAAAACATTAACAGCTGGCAAGAAACATGCTTTCCATGTTGTTGTAGCTAGAATACACAAGTATCACTAACTTGTTCCAACTCATGATGGGGTTATCTAGCTCATGAGTCAAATTCAGTTCTGGTGTAAGCAAATGTAACTCCAGCGGGATGTCACACAATTGATCTATTGTCGGTAAGATTCTGGTGAGTGCTCTCTAGCTTTTGAAAGCAAGATAGATGCACTTTCCAATCTTCTCTTTTTCTACCCTTCTTAGAGGTTTCTTTGCCTTGGCATAGGTATCTTGGACACAGCCATCGTGGATCGGGGAAGAAATGTCATTTCCAGTTCTAGAGATGGCACTGCCCGCCTCTGGGATTGTGGTAAATCTGCTTGTCTAGGCGTTGTTGCAGATTGTGGTTCTCCTGTGAATGGCATTGCTCTGGGCATTGCTGACAATACAATAAATCTGGGATCACCTGAAAAAGCACCTAGTAAGTAATATATGGAGGTTTTCTTTTTCCCTTAAAACATTTACTGTTTACGCATGCCATATGCGGGTTCTTTAGGGAAAATATGTAACTGCTGTAAAGAGAGGAGGAATCCTTTATCACTCTGGGTGGCAGTTCCATCCTCAGCAGTCTCATCTGACAGCATAAACCCAAGAGGAAGAGAAGTGAGCCACTAGGGCCGTTCTCTGGAGTCTTGAGAGAAGCTGAAGAATACAGTTCCCTTTTACAGTATGATGTAGACTAAATGGTGTAGCCAATTATTTGATTATACTCCTGGTTCATTCTTAAAAATGTTTGAGACCAAATGCCTAAATTTATTCAAATGTATTGTCTAAATGTATCTGTTCTATTCATTCCCTTTGAGGCACTTGGCATTGGTCACTGTTGGAAGACAGGATACTGATCTAGATGGACCTCTGGTCTGACCCAGTATTGCCATTCTTATGTTTACTAAAAGGTGTGGTTCAAAGATAAGAATTTCAGCTAGTAGTATTTCCAGTGTGATAAGTCTTTACTAAAATCCACCAATTTTGGATACTGTACTCCAAACCAGTTGGCTGTAGAGACATCCCAACTTGTGCTAGGACACACCATTCATATACAGGCAGTCCCCGGGTTACGTACAAGATAGGGACTGTAGGTTTGTTCTTAAGTTGAATCTGTATGTAAGTCGGAACTGGCGTCCAGATTCAGACACTGCTGAAACTGACCGCCAGTTCTGACTTACATACAGAATCAACTTAAGAACCCCAGGCGTCCCCAAGTCAGCTGCTGCTGAAACTGATCAGCAGCTGATTCCAGGAAGCCCGGGGCAGAGCAACTCTGCTTGGGGCTTCCTGTAGTCAGCGCTGGTCAGTTTCAGCAGAAGCTGACTTGGGGACGCCTGGGGCAGAGCAGCTGGGGTGCTGC